ACGGACAGACAGACATTCCACAGAGAAAGATGTGGGCAGAAGCAAGAGACACATAAAAAGGGATTGATGCCGGTGCAACGGATGTATTTTTAACATTCGCACTCCCGTGGGAGAACTGAATCCCAGGTCAACCTGGGCTACACAGTGAGTTCCAACTAGCCTGGGCTACAGAACAAGTCCTCGTCTCAGGAAAAACAACAAACAATAAACAAAAAAAGCAAGCAAACAAACAAGAAACCCAAAAAACAACCCAAAACCATAAATTATATGCATATATATACATAGATACATAGATAGATGATAGATAGATAGATAGATAGATAGATGATAGATAGATAGATAGATAGATGATAGATAGATGATAGATAGATAGATAGATAGATAGATAACATACATATGTATAAAACATAACACAAGATCATGAAGTGGGGAGGGATTTCAGCCAAGCACATAGAGAGAAACAAACCAGGAGAACCTTGAAGGTGAAGACTGTGGGAGGACAAAACCTTACTTCGCTCCAAACCCCACTGACCATAGATAGAATGAAGGAGGCCTCACTTGTAGCGGACTGACAGAAGCCAAGGAATACTTTTCTGCCACATTTTCTTCCAAATATAGAGAAATTGGGGGGTGGGAGAATAACTTTTTTCAAAAGATTTCCAAGTTGTCTCCGAGTATAACAATGGCCCCACATTCTTTTAAAAATAAATCTTAATCAAACTGTTTACCTGGTTCATAATAACTAATTACACAGGAAACTACATGCATAGGGAGACAGGCTCAGAGCTTTTCTGGATAGACAAATTATCTCTCCAAACTTAGGAGAGCAATAGTAGCAATCATTAAAACCAAAAGCCAATCACTGCTCTGCAGGATGGAGAAGGAGACATCGCTCGCCAAAGATAGAGCGTTACAGTTTTATTGATGCAGACTCTTCTCAAACTAAGAGGCTTGGAACTGCCAGGCCAGACACCCAGCCAGGGGCTCTCCATGGATGGGGTTCATCTGGTCCCGTGACAACCAGCTGGTCCGGTATTATTTTAGAGACATTAAATAACCCGATTGAAGTTACATGGCTGATTCCTGAACTGCTGAGCTAGAGGTTGAACCTGCACAGGGGACTGCAAACACAGTCTGTGTTCTCAGTCTGCCAAATGGGCAGCGCTGCCCTGACAGGCCTGCAGCCAGCCTCAGGGGGCTAGGTGAGCTTCCGGGTGGGGGGGGATCACAGAAAATCTGTGCCAGTGTCAGTATTCAATACAGGTTTAAACCCTAAGCTATGCAGCCTCCTTATTCCTCCTTCACTGCTCTCTCTTCATCAGCAATCTGCCAGGTCCACCCTGACTCACGTACTAGACCAGAACAGTAATACCAAGACGACCGACAAGCCTCTCTCCCAGGCGTCTCATCCCCAGGAATCATTAAGGGCTGGCTCCTCAGCCAAACAGTGGTGGGAGCATTACTCCTTGACCTTGCTAGAAAGCAGATCTCGGGACCCACTCCAAGCTTCCCGAATTAGAATCTGCATTTGAACCAGCTTTACTGTGTTGCCCACATATATTAAAATGTCCGACAATGGTCTAACAGGCCATTTATAAGGCTGGTCATTCCTAGCTTCAATTTCTCACTATCTGGCAAAACTTGGTGTATAAAAAAAAACAAAAAACAAAAAACCAACCGGTTGTCTTAGAATAACAGCAAGCATTCTGCTGCCCAAGTGGCCCTACTCTATGACTAATTAAACCTCAGAAATGATTTGTACTGTATCTGGGTTAGTTTCTAGGCAAAGCTACGAGCTAGAGGAAAGGTCAACCAAGATCACGATCATCTTCAATGTCTTCTCCAGTTCACTACAAAGAGGTCCTGACAGGGAGAAACTCAGTGCTCCAGAAACTTACTTCCCTTAGATTATATAATGAGCCCCGCCTTCCCACAAATGTGAGCTAGCTACAGGAAGGGCCAAGGGCTGGTAGGCGTGGCTTGACCAAGGAACACGGAATACACCAATGAGGAAAGGCAGGCCACTCAATGGGGCCTTCAGTAAACCAGCCTTCAGTAGGCTGGTTTGTTTGTTTGTTTTGTTTTTAATTTTTAATGTTTGTTTCCTTTGATCTGTTTCGAAATGTCATATTTTGTGTTGAGTTGTCAGAGCCAGAAATGAAGTAAGGGCTGGGGCTGAGTGGTCAGCCTCTTGTCTGGCATACACAAAGCCCTGAGTTCAATTCTTTGTACTGCCAAAACAATCAGACAAACCTAGAAATGAAGCAAGAATTGTAAATTATGTCAGTAAAGGACAAGAAATAAAATGAGGTTTAGGAAGGAAGGAAGGAAGGAAGGAAGAAAGAAAGGAAGGAAGAAAGGAAGGAAGGAAGAAAGGAAGGAAGGAGAAAGAGAGAGAAAGAGAGAGGGGGAAGGGAGGAGGAAGGGAGGGAAGGAAATGAAGAAAGGAAGGAGGGAAGGGAAAGAAGGAAGGAAAGGGAAAGAAGGAAAGAAAGGTAAGAAAGAAAAGGAAAAGAAAAAGAAAAGAAAGGAAGGAAAGGGAATGAAGGGAAAGGAAGAAGTGAGGGGAAAAAAAGAAAAAGGAAGGACAGACAGACAGGTACTGACTTTCAGAGGGTGGGAAAGTTCCATGAAATACCAAGGCAAGCTCTCCTGAGCAGCTTTGAGCTCATCACTGTGTGTGGGGAAGTGAGCTCACCCCACTGGAGGCCAAAGTCTGGACAAACAGGGTGTTCCTTCCACCTACTGCCAAGTGACAGTCACCTAAAAACCCGACAGTTTGTAAGTAGAACTTAGAAAATTCAAGGGTAGACTCCAAGCTGAGTGTCAGAAGTGACTCATTTTAAGGTAACGTTGCTTGGAGAATGTAGCTTTGTTAAAAAATCAGAATCTCCTACTTAGCACCGTGAGGTGGAGGTCAGCAGGAACTACAAACAGGAGTGATTGGAACCATTACAACCCAGACGTTTAAGGAAGGGCCCAGCCGTCTATCACACAAAGGACAGAGAGACAGATTTAGACTGGTCAGGAAAGACTACATAGATAAACCCTGTCTCAAAAAACCGAAATGATGATGGTGGTGGTGGTGGTGGTGGTGATAAAATGGCAGTTATGGGGTCAGTGATATACTTGCTGCTTTTCTGGAGTACCCAAGTTCAATTCACACCTCCCATATGAGGGGAGGCTCACAACTGCAGGTAACTCCCACTCCCAGAAACCTGACGCCCTCTTCTGGTCTCCACTGGCAACTGCACCCACAAGCACCCACTCGCACAGAGACACTCTCGTGTGTGTATATAATTAAAAACAAAAGAAACGGAAGCTACTATGAATTCTCACTCAAAAAGGTCGAAGGGGTAAGTAAATGATTCTCATAAAAAGAAACATCGCCTGACACTGTGAACACACTTGAACACGAGGAAGTGTCTGTATTAGGGCTTAGCATTAACCACAAGAAGGAAAATGGAACTGAAAATCACACGGTGGGACGCTCTATCAGCACGCACTCCAGACTGTCAGAAATGATTTCCACAAAGATGCCGGCATGTGGCTGTGCCTTGATCCTCCGCATCCCTGTCTCCTTGTGGCCTTAAAAAAGCATTCTTTTTTTTTTTTTTTTTTTTTTGGTTTTTCGAGACAGGGTTTCTCTGTATAGCCCGGGCTGTCCTGGAACTCACTCTGTAGACCAGGCTGGCCTCGAACTCAGAAATCCGCCTGCCTCTGCCTCCCGAGTGCTGGGATTAAAGGCGTGCGCCACCACCGCCCGGCTTAAAAAAGCATTCTGATAAGCAGCCCCATGGGACTGATGGGATGACCCAGCCGGTAAAAGGCACTTGCCACCAAACCTGACCACTGAGTGGGAGCCCTGGAATCCACCTGTTGGAAAAAAGGAACCAACTCCCGAATGTTGTCCTCTGACCTGCACTGTTACCATGATCCTTCCCTCTCCACCCCACACGTGTACACAGGAATGCGTGCAAGCAAGCAAGCACGCATGCAATTAAAATTTATTTCTTTTTTTTCTTTTTTTTTTTTTTTTGGTTTTTCAAGACAGGGTTTCTCTGTATAGCCCTGGCTGTTCTGGAACTCACTCTGTAGACCAGGCTGGCCTCGAACTCAGAAATCTGCCTGCCTCTGCCTCCCAAGTGCTGGGATTAAAGGCGTGCGCCACCACCACCCTGCTAAAATTTCTTAAAGTCCTGCAGGCACCACTTTCTCCCAGACTCCTGCAGAGAGGCTTCCAGCTAAGGATCCAAAAATCAAAAAAACAAAAAACAAACAGACAAAAAACAAACGAACAAACCAGGTAAAAAGTCACTATGTCCCAAGATGATCTCAAGTCATTAAAAAAAAAAAAATCAATAAATTTGGTTCTACCCTGGTAATTTAACAGTCTCAGACTCAAGAATGAGAAGGACTCGTACCAGGTTGGCCCTCTCTCTTCCCACGTCACACTCCCTTTTTTCTCTTTCATGGACTATTTCTCTCCCACTGTCCTTCACAGAGCCAGCTGGGCTTATGGGTTGCTATTATCATTTAAAAATCAAAACTTCACATGACGTTCAGAATGATGGTGCCTTTGTATTTTTTTTTTACTCATTTGTAGAAATAACACGCAAATGCAACTTGGATGGTTTCTTAATTAAAATGCGTATCAATGGTCATAGTGCACGTTTGGGTATGAGACGTGGTAAATTTTCAGTCAGTCTAGTTCACAGACATAGGACTTTGGGAAGTGCTGGCTGGTTGGAGTCCAATGTATTTATACATTTTTATTAGACTCGATTGAAAGATTTGAGAAGATGAATAAATTACTCTTCTATTCCCCTCATCTGTCATTCCAGACGACATGCAACAGATGTCACAGAAGAAATTCAAATTGCATCTTCAAACGAAGCCTAACTTTAGTGAATGAATAATTCACCCAAATCTCACTGAAAACTGGAACAGTTTTCTACAGCTATTCCTCCACCCGGTAACACTTAGGGAAAAATGCCTACCTATTTATCTGCCCATTTTCTACTTCTGTGAAGTCGTTAGAGTCGTTGCTAACGTTGTCGTCCTCGGGCACCGTCATGTTCTGCAGCTCCGTTAACTCCAGGCCACTTTTGAAATGCATCATGTTCGGGTGTCTGTAGTCAAAAACTCAATTTCTTCTGTTCTGAGGATCTTCAGTAGCGGAGAGTAGCAGATACAGATGCCTGAGACCCCTGAAACAGAGCAAAATAAAGAATTATTATTAAATGAATGGAAGATAGTGTCGGCGGTGCACGAACAACCGTGAAAAGCAAACAAATGATAAACTAGGCAAGAAATGACACTTTCAGATGCTGTGCCAGACGAAGAGAAACAAGAATCTTATCGCTAATTTTATGGATTTTACACAATTCCCTCCATTTTTTTCTACAACAAAGTAAGTCACATCCCATAACCTTTTTTTTTTTTTTTTTTTGGTTTTTCGAGACAGGGTTTCTCTGTATAGCCCGGGCTGTCCTGGAACTCACTCTGTAGACCAGGCTGGCCTCGAACTCAGAAATCCGCCTGCCTCTGCCTCCCAAGTATCCCATAACCTTTAGCTCACATTTATAGAACCTCAAGTTATGGGGCTGGAGAGATGGCGGAGTGGTTAAGAGCACTGACTGCTCTTCCAGAAGTCCTGAGTTCAATTCCCAGCAACCATATAGTGGCTCACAACCATCTGTAATGGGATCTGATGTCCTCTTCTGCTGTGTCTGGAGAGGGACAGTCAATCAATCAATCAATAGAACTGAAACTAAACCCTTTAAAATATAAATAAATAAATAAAAAGAAACCCTAAGTTAGCGGCAGGCAACATATACATTCTTTTTATGAACCAAAGTTTAAAATGATACACGAAGGGCCAGCAAGATGGCTCACCAAGTTAAGGCACTTGCTACCAAGTCTAAGTATCTGAGTTCAAGCTCCATGACACACACAGGGTGAAGAAGAATCAACTCCTGTGGCAGCCTCTGACTTCCACATGTGTCCCCCAACCATAAACAAACAAGAGATTTAAATTTTAATGAGTAACTCATTGAATGGGAGTGGCTGGGCGATTTTAATGTGCGTACTCACGGTGCAGGCACAGACCCATCACCGTACAATGAGAGCACAAATCTCCAATAAACGGCACCGCTGGGGATCGACCTACAACCCGGACTAATTTTATTTTGGAATTTAGCAAATAGTTTATACATCATCAAGTGCAAGAGATTAAGTCAATCTTCAGTGAAATCAGTCCATGTCAGGGAATTAGGGAATTAAAAACTCATACTCAGGGGATTTTGGTTAGTCCACCTGCTACCTTATTTCCTCATCGGGGATGAAAGATGATCAGAGGGCTGTCACGTCCCTCACGTGGACGGCTGTGACATCAGTTCCTGAGGTGCCACTGACAGAACATATGGGAAGAAATTTGGAGACGCAGCAACAAAAATCAAAAGGCTGACCACCAAGGCAAATGAAACTTCAAGTGCAAGGCCAAACCAGGGGTGGTGGCACAGGCCTGTAGACAGGAAGGGCTGGAGTGTCAGCCCCTTATAAGTAAAGAACTTATATAGTACGACTCTGTGTCAAAAGGAGAGGGAGAAAGAAAACCCATAAGCATGGCTGGTCCACTAGGGTAGTCTCAAGTGTCACTTCAAGGACATCTTGGAATAGCACAGAATGTTAAAAAAGACATAACTCTAGACACTAGAGTCTAGACCTGTGGCTCTCACCCTTCCTCATTCTTCGAGTAATACAGCCTCTCATGTTGTAGCGAACCCCAGCCATAAAATTGTTCTCTCTACAACTTCATAACTGCAGTTTTGAGACTTTCTGAATTGTGATGTAAATATCTGATATGCAGGATAGCTGATACGAAACCCCCATGAAAGGTGGTTATATATATATATATATACATATCCAAAGGGGTCGGGACCCACAGATTGAGAACCCCTGGCTTAGATGAAGCACTACCAGCAATTAATGGCTGCCGAGTGAGAGAAAGCCGAGTCTCCTCGAGGGACGAGTATCCCTCTCTCAAAAAGTTATCCAACCCCAGCGGTCAGCCAGACATACATACATACAAGCAACATTAGATGGACATAGCAGGACGTACTTATATTTGCATACATGTGTGCAAAAACAATGACTAAAGAAGTCACAAATCTGAGGAAGTAAGGAACATGAGAGGGGAGTATTGTGGGGAGAGGGAGTGGAGTGGAAATTATGTAAATAACAATATTCAGGTAGGAAACTCTCAATTAGATAAATGCAAAAAAAAAATAAAATTGAAGCTTAGAGAAGTTAATACAAATAAATGAATTTTCTACGGAGTACCTCCTTGAGAACATTTGATACATTATCTGATTCCAAATACTCCAACAGGACAGCACTCTAGGCTGAGGGAAATATGATATGCCTATAAAGGCGTCGTGGCTGGCATGCACCAGGAAGCCTTTTACTCAGTGATATCTAACGGGCCCACAGAAGTACCCAGTTTGGAGTATAATCTCTTTGTACGTGGAAACCACACAATAATCCTGTTCCTTCCGGGTCTCCCATCTAAGAAGGAAAATTTTCTGATGTCAGGTGATTAAACTTTCAGAGCAAATGCACGTTCTAATATCTCAGATTCCAGAAGCCTCTCTCTCCTACTGCACCAAGTGCCTCTGGGAAGGCAGGAAGCCATGAGGGGGGCAGCTGGGTCCAGCTAGCACTGACTGCTTTTGGAGGGGGGTGTCTCAAACAGTGGCAATGGGCACTCTGTCTTCTCCATGCAAAGATGGGTACATTCAAGCGGCTGGACCCCACTCTCACCTCTGGGATTCCTTTCATGAAACAAAGCAGGCTGGGTAATTTCTAGACTCGTGACTCTCACTCTTGCTTCTAACACTGCCTGACAGGCTGTTGAAGTGAGCCTACAGGCCTGGGAGGCGTGGGGGTGACGTTTCTAATCTGTGTTAAGGAGTTTTTCTCTCTGCAAACTAGAAAGTAATAGGGTACCAGGCAGGGATTTTCTAAGAACAAAATTTGATTATTAAGAGATTTGGAGTCTGCTGATTGAGGCTAACCTCTCAGGCTATCTCTCTGTGTGTGTATGTATGTGTATGAGTGCGTGTGTGCCTGTGTGCACTCATATGAATGCACACGTGTATGTGCGTGCGCGTGTAATACAAATGGCCGATCTGTCAGGTATGGAAGTGAACATTACCGAGACCCCCACCCACTACACCCACGCAAACACCAGTCAGTACATGTTCATCAAATAGAGCAGATTTTCGCTGGTATAAAATAAGTCTCCTTGAAGACTAACACACATGTGTTTGGAGATAAAAACCAGAAACATCAGCAAAGAGCATCACTCCTCTCATCTCCCCTGGGCTGCGCTGGGGAGATACCTGCTCAAATTCTCACTTACTTATCTGAATACTAAGTGAAGACAGAGTTTTTAAAAATGTTGGAAATACCAAATCTTCAGGGGCCTGAGATGGGGTTACAGAAAAGTTACTCGGGCTGGACCACGAATTTTCTTTCTTCCCCAAGAGAAACAGACACTTAATGGAGACTCTAGAACAAACATGAAAGAAATTCCACCACCTAAAAATAGGCCGGAGACTCAATTCCTCCTCCTCATTTTTCTTTCGTGTCTCCTTTTCCATCTCTACCCCCGCAACGTCCCTTCTGGTTTAATACTGAAGATTTTAGATTGTTTTTAACCTACATTTTTTTCATGGAGTACCAGATTATAAGGGCTGTGAAGGACAGAAGTGTCTTTCTAAGCTGTTAGTTCTGGAGATGTGGCTACGGAGCCAAATCATGAGTTCAAATCCTCAGTCCTCATGGAAAAGCTGTGTGCACTGCTTGTATATATAATCCCAGAGCTGGGGCTGGGGTGGGGATAAGTGGATCCCCAGAACTCCCTAGCCAGCCAATCTAGTTGAACTGGTGAGTTCTGGGTTCAGTGAGAGAATCTGTCTCAAAAAACCAGAGGGGAGAAGAGACTGAGAAAAACAGCCAAGGCTGGCCTTTGGCCACCAAATGCATGACAGTGAGCATGAGCACACATGAATGGGTGCACACTTGCACACACCTGTGCGCACACACACACATAGACCAAACACCTATGCAAAAACAAAAGTCAGTTCCTCATTAATAAAAAAAATACAGGTTTCCTGTGAAATACAACTTTACAAATGGCTGAAAACATCAAAGCATCATCTGTTCCCCGCAAACAATGATCACCACAGTTTGGGAACTGCTGTAGGTTTTCCTGAATTGTTCTGTGGAGACACACTGTCTCACACAGGCAGCCCCTCAGCACATCTCTGTCCAACAAAAAAGGTGACTAGGGATTAAAATGTATACACTCAAGAAAATGAGATTCAGCCAGGCAGTGGTGGCGCACGCCTTTAATCCCAGCACTTGGGAGGCAGAGGCAGGCAGATTTCTGAGTTCGAGGCCAGCCTGGTCTACAGAGTGAGTTCCAGGACAGCCAGGGCTACACAGTGAGAGCCTGTCTCGAAAAACGAGAGAGAGAGAGAGAGAGAGAGAGAGAGAGAGAGAGAGAGAGAGAGAGAGAGAGAGACAGAGAGAGAGACAGAGAGAGAGACAGAG